ACTAATGGAAAAGAATATGAAAAAGAGCATATATATATATAACTGAATTACTTTGCTGTATAGCAGAAATTAACACTGTAAGTCAACTATACTTCAATAAAATTTTAAAAAATTAAAATAGAACAAAACCTCCTTAGGTGATTCTAATAGATGGAGGGACATCCCTACAACCATGAAAGAGTTTCATGGAAGAAAAGTTTTCTGGAAAAAAACGGAGCATGAGGCTGAAAAGGAAGCTAAAATCACACATAATATTTCTGATGCAGAAAATAAAAGGTTCTGAATGTTAAAGAAGAAAAAGGACATAGTCAAAGGCAATGAAAGGATGATTTGAACAAAAGACAAAACAACTAGAGAAAAGGGTTCTTCATTCTGAGATTAATAATTATTTCTACCAGAGGACTAGCCTATGACATGTCTCATAATCATATACTACACATTCTTCACCATGATTTCATGAAAACAAGGCAGATGACAAAGTCATTTTTGGGGATTTAGTCTCCTAAATAGATTAGGTAGTAAAGCTCTAACATGCCAGTTACCAGAGTTGTAATTTCTAAATGCCATAATCCCCTGGAGGAGGGCATGGCATCCCACTCCAGTATTCTTGCCTGGAGAATCCCATGGACAGAGGAGCCTGGCAGGCTACAGTCCACAGGGTTGCAAAGAGTCAGACAAGACTGACTGAAGTAGTTTAGCACATATGCATGCAAAGCATTTATTATGAACATGTAAAATTAATTGGCAGAACTTTCAGATAAAAATCAGTTCATACAATGGGTTTAAAAAATCAACTTTTAAAGGTGACATTCAAAATCTATCAAGTTGGTGAGTGTGTCCCCCGACTAGGGATTGAATCTGGACCCTCGGCACTGAAAGGGTGGAGCCTGACCACTGGACCACCAGGGAACTCCCAGATGATTCAGTTTGAACTCATGGCATAATTTTTCTTACAAAATTCCTACTTCTTTCCACTGAACAGGCTAAGAAACAATGACCAACCCCAAAGCACTGACACCTCTAACACCCAAACTGTGGCCGCCAGATGTCATTTATCACTCAACATGGTCGGGACTCCTTTGAGAAATATTCTATTCCAGGTCTGCACAGAAAATGTACAAGATGAGACTGGAAATCTTGTTATCTCAGAAAGTGAGGTGTCTCCCAAAGATGAACAGGTTTGGGTACAATAGGACACTTTTGAGTGAAAAAGGCTTTTAATAAGTATACCAGGAAAACAGGTATAGACCAGGATGCCCGAGATTCACCCCAGGCAAACCAGAATGAATATCCCCGTAATGGCAATACCTCTCTGGACACTAATACAATAACAATAATCATCTATCCTAACTTCAATGTTCCAAAGAGGATGTGATGGTAATTACAAACTTAGAAACCACAGAGGGTATTAATCCAATTTCTTTTTTCTCCCTACCCATGTTCTTGGTGTGAGACATCAAATGGCACTTTTATAATTACAATGGCACAGCAGTAATTAATATTGATCTTGGAACATGGGAAAGGTCAACATTAACTTGTAGACTGCAAGATTCAATCTCGTTTTTCCTCTGGAATTCATGCAGTGAGCACTGTTTCACCAGCTGCATTACCACTACCACCAAGACCACAAGCTCCACTTGGGCAAACTGTCAGCAATTTTTTTTTTTTGTTTTAAGATTTAGGACACTTCTGTACAGATCTGGAATCCTTAGTGAAATAGTATCTTGATTATGAAGAGTCATTTCACTGGGTTTCTAATATGAAAAGGTTTGGTTGTTCTTTTCTATTTCAACAAATATTTATTGAGGTTCTATAGTATGCCATACTTTGTCTAAATGATAGATTAAGCACAGGAGAGAGAGATCAAATGATTTGTCAATCCAATGAAAAATACCATTTAGTCACTCATAATCTATGAGACTAGTGGTTCACAAACCAGACTGCACTTTAGACTGGGGAGAATTTAAAAAAAACAAAATCCTGTACCTTGCCACATAAAATCTGCATACGAATGCTCACAGCAAAATTCTTCATGAAAGCCAAAAAATGGAAACAGTCTAAATGTGTATCAGCTGATGAACTGATAACAAAATGTGATATATACATATAACTGAATAGATTTTAGTAATAAAGATGAATGAAGTATTGCTACATGCTACAACATGAACCTTGAAAACAGTAAGCCAAATGAAAGAAGCCAGATACCAAGGACCACATAGTGTACAATTCCATTCATATGAAATGTCCAAAACAGCAAACTGATAGAGACAGAAAGTAGATTAGTGACTGTCTAGGAGTAGGGATTTGGGGGAGGAATGGAGAGTAACTGCTAATGAGAATGGGTTTTGGGGGGTGATAAAAGTGTTCTAAAACTGACCATAATCATCAGAGAAATGCAAATAAACCACAATGATGTATCAGCTCACACCTGTTAGGATGATAACAAGCAGTAACAAGTGCTGATGAAAGTGCAGAGAAAAGGGAACCCTTGTATCCTGTTGGTGAGACTGTAAACTGGTATAGCTATTATGGACAACAGTATGGAGGGTGCTTAAGAAATAAAAACTAGAACTACCATATGATCCTGCAGTCCCACTTCCAGGTATATAACTAAAGGAAATCAACTCAGGATCTCAAATACATTACATCTAATGTTAGAACTGCAGCCCTCCTTACGTTTGATGCCTGGAGTATGTACCCAATCAATCATCTTTACTGCCAACCTCCACGACACATGCACAACCATCATATCGAGGACTCTGACACAACTTTCCCTTCAACACCTCAGCGCCTTGGCTGGGAAGGAGCCTCACTTAGAAAGGCTGTCTGGCACAGCTGGTCTTCTTCCAAACTTGGAGGCAGGCCTGACCTCCTGCAAACCGGCAGCTGATATCCTGCTTTATGTTAGGGAATCTACCTTGCAACTTTCCGCATTGTCACTTGCCAGACTCTGTGGACTGTCACTGCCTGGACACACTACTCCTGAAACCCTTACCTGCTTGAATGTTGACCCTGACCTGGGCAAGCCAGAGATGGCCCAGAATGTCCACCTGGACATGAGCAGTGACCGCTGGTCCCTGCAGCTCCCCAGCATGGGTGTGACAGTCCTGAACTCATCTCCTTTTTCTGCGGACCTGCCTCTACAGCACTACCTCTGTTAACATAAAACACTAACGGTCTTACTGAGTATTGAAACATTGTTTTATTTTTTTTTTTTTTGTTATGGAATGAATGTCTGTGTTCCCCTCAAATTCACATGTTGAAATACTATCCCCCTAGTTAGGGAATTTGGGATTGACATGCACCCACTGCCATATTTAAAATTGATTAAAAAAAAGGATAACCAAGAAGAACCTACAGGGAGCTCTGCCCAGTGTTAAGTGGCAGCCTGGATGGGAGGTGAATTGGGGAGAAAATGGATACATATATACGTATAGCTGAGTTCCTTTGCTGTCCACCAGAAACTATCTCAACGTTGTTAATCGACTAAAGTAAGTGTTAGTCACTCAGTCATGCCCGACTCTTTGAGACCCCGTGGACTACAGCCCACCAGGCTCCTCTGTCCATGAGATTTTCCAGGCAAGGATACTGGAGTGGGTTGCCATTTCCTTCTCCATGAAACATTGTTTTAAAAGTGCTGTTATTTTTAAAATTCAAAGAGTAAACCCCAACTAACTCTATTTTGAGCTATTTTTGAGAATTTCATTATAGATTAATGAAACATATAACGAGAGGATGGAGGAATCAAACCATATCATATTCTAACTCCATAAAGGTAGGGAATTACAGGGCTGGAGTGCAAGTGACTCAAAAGTGTAGCGGTGGTCCAGCGGCTAAGACTCCCTGCTCCCAATGCAAGGGTCTGGGTTCGATCCGGTTAGGGAATTGGATCCCACATGCCACGACTAAGACCTGGCACAAATAAATAAATAACTTTTTTTTTTTTAAGTGTAGCAACCAACCACTATTCATCAACTTGGAGAGACTCAACTGACTGTCTCCAGGGCTCACTGTTAAGGCCACTGTTATGAAATAACCTAAAGAAGAAATTAGAAATATGACCATCAAATGTGTGGAAGGCATTTCACTGAGTAAGAATGAAAACTGAGTGGGAAGTAGGATAGAGAACCTTTGTGCAAGGAACACAAAGCATATGAGAAGCCCGGTTTCAAGTACTATAGAAAGCTCAGGGACATAGATGATCATGTGTCACCCTAACCTTGCAGGGAGGGAGTGCTTTTATGAATCAACAAAGCTAAAAGGTATTTGCTGTATCAAATAGTAGAAAGGTCGAAAGTGAGAAAGCTCAGTTCTGTGCACATGGGAAGAGCAGCGACCGTGGTTCCATAACTAAACCCCAAATTCAATAGGAAAAAGATCATAAATTATAGCAAGTACTCATCAATGTTTATTACTTAAATGAATGACAAATAATTTCATCCAACAATCTCCAAATTGCTTAAAACTATGATAATATTTAACTTCTCAAATTTCATGTGCTCTAGTTTCTAAACAGGCTGACAATTCTATTTCTTTTCAAAAATTCTTAGGCTCACAGTGAATAAACTGGTAGTATGATGAAATTATTTCAGTTCGAATAAAAGGTGTATTCCTGCTAGACACTTCACCCAGCTGCAAAGTATCTGAACTGAAACAAATAAAATCATGCATTACTTTTTATATCAGCCTCTAAAACTTCATGAACTGTACAGTCTACTTCTGATTTTACTTAGAAGCTTTTTATTTTATTTGAATCTTACCATCCATGAGATTTTCTAATAACATGATAGGAATCTTAATATTCAAAAGTGTTTATACTTTTAAAAATCAGGATAGCAGGAACCTACACAAAAGGCCTCCCTGTTTCTGATAGGAATATGCCACGGTCAGGCTTTACGCTCACATCACACAAACATGGGCTGTTACTGGAGAGTTGTTTTCACACAGTTGGCATTTTTAATTCTCTACTTTTTGGTTCCAAAACATAGCCTTCATTTTCATCACAAAGAGAAGTCTGTAATTTCTTCTTCTGTCCACTTTTGCAAGCCTTTTGCATCATCTATCGTCCAAAGCTTCGCAAAACACTTTAGCTTTTTCCTGGACAGAAAATAAAATACCATTTCTTTTATAAATGGAATTGTTAGGGGCCAGTCCATCCTATCAAAACTACAAAAAGTCTGTGATATTAGAATAGCAGGCAGGCTGTATGGTTAGGAGGCTATGGCGGGGAGCATCAGCATCAGTGAAAGTAGTTCTCAGGGTGGCTGCTTTAATCAAGAGACCCAGGTTGCTGATCAGCTCCAGGGAGGGAATGGCACAGCTTCCTCCCTCTTCTAACTCAGCTGGAGGCTGTGTGTGCTCACAGGATGAAAAGTGAAACTGACTTAATAAAATAATGCAGGCTATTGGAAAAGTAAAATGCCAACATAACACAGACCTACTTTTCCTTCTGCAAAAACGCAATCCAGTTAAATAGTAACATCTTATGGAAAAACCTGAATGAACTTTTTGACCAACCCAATATTTAGGGTCTGAAGAGGGAATGTGTGAGTTCCAAACATCGCTCTACCACCAACTAGCTGGGTGACCCTGGTTTCCCGGTCAGATTCCTACCCTCACTTGGTCTCATTTTCCCCAACTACAACATAGGATGAGAGCAGTACCTATTTCACAAGGTTATTATAAGGGTTAAGTGAATTAATATACGTAAAGCAATAAGAATAGTAGCTGGCTACGGTGTCTAGGCTGCTGCAAAGGACTGATTACCTAAACTTGCTGGTATCCATAGCAAGCACTCAATAAATATTAGCTATTAACAAACTCACAAGGATGCACCAGATTCAGTTTGGGTTCTGTGACCAATGAAATCGATGTGATAACCACTTTTAGTGAAAAAGGAAAAACAACAAATACAGTGTGTCCTGATAGATCATCAGATGCCATGCCAATGCAGCCTCTTCCTATAATTCTGTCTTGTTAAGCTAACTTTCTAGATTTTAAAATATAATATACTAGTTGGAAGAGCCAAAATATTTTTTCCCTTATTTTTTAATTAATTTATTTTAATTGGAGAATAATTACTTTACAATATTGTGATGGTTTTTGCTATATATCAGTATGAATCGGCCAGTCTCTCCCACCCTATCCCTCTGAGTTGTCCCAGAGCACTGGCTTTGGGTACCCTGCTTCATGCATCTAATTTGCACTGGTCCTCTATTTTACATATGGTAATGTACATGTTTCAATGGTGTTCTGTCAAATCATCTTACCCTCGCCTTCTCCCACTGAGTCCAAAAGTCTGTTCTTTACATCTGTGTCTCCTTTGCTGCCCTGCCTGCATGTAGGACCCTGCATGTACCATCTTTCTAAATGTCATATATACGTGTTAATATATAGTAGGTGTCTTTCAGAAGAGTTAAAATACTTATAAAGAATCTGTGAATTTTACTACTCTTGCTTTATGGCCTGCAAGAACTTTCATATCTTACTGCCATCTTGCATCTTTTGTAGTAAAGTTTAATTCCAGTTTCTTTATGAAAAAAGAAAAATAAGAAGACAACAAGAGAGGATTTAAAGTTGTCTGTGGACTTGGAGCAGAACTAAGGGCTAAGCTTACTTTTAAAATCTCATAGATGATCACCTTTCCCTCTAGAAAAATTGTATGTGAATCTACTTTGTAACAAGTAACTAGAATTAGCCCATCACTGATTGGATCACTTGTTTCTAATCTGGTGTTGTGGAAAGGATCCAGAAGAGGATGCCACCGGAGGAAACGACAAAGTGCTCTAGTACTCCAGCACTTTGGACCTGGCCCACCACCTGTTACCATGGTAAGGTTAGGAGTGCCAGGCAGAAACACAGAGCAAGAAAGAAAAGAGGAGCTGGTTGCAGGACTATCAGTATGCAAGCTGGCAACTGTCTCTTTAACTAAAATATCAGGTGTTAATATTTCAATATTTAAATTGGTAATAATTCCCAGAACTAAAAAATATTCTTACAGCATAATGGCCAGCCAGGATGTTCTGACTAACAGCCTATTTGCTCTAGATCACCTGGTCATGGACCAGAGCAATAATGCCCTGCCCCAGGTCAATTGGACTCTTCAGGCAGAGCAGGGTGGGGTCGGAGGTGGGCAAGGAGTTTATGCTGTTTTAAAATATAATCTTATATTTGGGGAACAAAAGGCTGCAATTTATTATTTATTAAGAGGATATTTTCCTAGGAATATCTTCCTTCCAAAGTATGTTTCAGGTTTGTATGACAATCAGTTTATATACTGACTACACACTCGCTGGATGTCCAGGGTAAAAGTGCATTCACATAAAGCATTCTAGGTGATGGAGAAGTCTGTTTAGAATAAAAAATCTGTCACAAACAAATCCACAAAGTAAGTGACGTGCACAGATACTGACTCTAATCACCTAGCTCTGTGATACCGGTTTTACCAAAAAGTTCATTCAGGTGTTTCTGTAAGATGTTATGTAAAAACCTAAAGAACTTTCTGGTTAACCCAGTACTATTATTTTCATTCATGTCCTGACAGAATTCTTCACTTCTGAATGCAACTGCTGCATATCTGAATGAGCATAAAAGAGTATAAAAGAAATACTCCAAACATTGTTTATATACTGAGGTTTCCATTAGCAGTATTCTTCATAAATGAGTGTTCTGGGCGACCAATGTGCCGGCACACATTAAGGAGTGAATTCTTTAGAGAAGTGACTGGAAACCAACCGAGCAACTTAACAGAGAAAGAGCTGACTAGAGGGGCCTAAAGGAATTCACACGGGCTTTGGGAAGAGCCATTTTCATTTTACCATAATTGAATGTTTCAGAATGTTTGAAGAGGTGCTTGAAGGAAGGTCTGATGTTCATTTACAGGACAATCCTCTTCCTGGGACAACTTGGAAGAGTTCATTATAAATCAAAAATCTAGCACAATCATTCTGACCTTTTCATATTTACTAATCCTTCCAGCTCTTTGGACTTGCTAGCTGCTTTCTTTAAAATTTCTCCAGGAACATCTGCTAGTTTAGCCACATTGAGTCCATAACTCCTTGCTGCAATTCCTCTGGTTATTTGATAAAGAAATGTGACAGAATCAGGGACCTGGTCTTCTTCACCTAAAAAATAAAGTTAAAAGAAAGAGAGAGATAAAGAAAACCACGCTTGAAAATTGAAAGAAATTAGAAGATTAAAGACAAAATAGAAATCTGTATATCTTTATTCAATTAAAATTTGTAATCTGAAAAAGAAATCCATTGTTCCTAATCTCTTGTTATCTTATCAATATTACATATCTAGAAAAAAGGTAAATACTGTTTTGAAAATGCTTTTGCATTTAGGATCTATCTTTTAGCTCAGTTAAAATGCTTTTTAACAATTATTCATTTTAAGTTAAGAAATATTTAGTTGTATGCTGCTTGCTGAAAATTTTTAAATGAACTTCTATACCCAAAAAAGAGTGATTTTGATACACGGTATGATATAATTTCTCCTTTAAAAACAGTTTTGTTTTTTTTTAAATGTTTTCCAGTGAAAGAATGTACTCACCACTCTTGTATGTAATATACTCTGTAAAGTAACATATATAAAGTATGTTTCCAAGAGTGTAAGAAACAAAGCCACAAAAACAGATAAGGAAATAATACACAGTTTGCACAGTTTAAATAACAAGACAGAGAAATTCTGGCTTATTAAATATCCTAGTTAAAAAAGAGCTATACATATTAAAGTTGATACTGTTCACATGTGTGCATGCTAAATTGTTTCAGTCATGTCCAACTCTGTGCAGCCCTATGGACTGTAACCCACCAGCTCCTCTGTCCATGGATTTCTCCAGGCAAGAATACTGGAGTGGGTTGCCATGCCTTTCTCCAGGGATCGAACCCTGGGTCTCCTGCATTGGCAAGTAGGTTCTTTACCACTAGCGCCACCTGGAAAGCCCATGGATGCTGTTTGGTACCATCCAAATCCCATTCAGACTGCCCCAACTATCAGAGCAACCCTCAGCTATGTGCTATCTTTGGGAACTTCTGCAGCTGAAGAAAGCTGTTTCACCCAAGGTCACCTCCCATCTTGGGCAGCCTGTATCCAGTGGACTGGCTGCTACAGGGGTTGGTAGGCAGCTTCAAAGATGGCCACCAAAGATCCCCTGCCTCCTGGCGTCCATGTCCTTGTGTGATTCTCCCTCTCTGACTGTGAGTTGAACCAAGGGACTTGCTTCTAATGAATAGAATACGACAAAAATTATGGTATGTCACTTTTGAGATTAGATTACAGGAGACTGTGGCCTGACTTGGGCACTCTCACTTTCTTCCCTGTTTGCTCTAAAGGGAGCCAGTGGCCATATTGTGGGCTGCCCTATGGAGGGGTCCACATGCAAAGAAACCAATGGCTCTGGTCAACAAGTCAGCGAGGGTCTGGAGCCCAACCAACAGCTGTGTGAATGATCTTGGAAGTGGATATTCTGAGGTATGCCAACAGCATGTGAGAGCGCTGGGAAGTGGGTGGTCCCAGTCAAGCCTTGAAGTGACTGCTACCTGGCCAATACTTGGATGAAGCCTGTGAGAGACTGTGAGGTACTCAGCTTGGGTTCCTGACCCACAGGAATTATGAGATAATAAACAGTTGCTGTGCTAAGCTGCTATGTTTTAGGGGGAAATTTGTTATGGAACAATAGATAAAAAAAGGCATAAAAGTCTGGCTCTCTCACCTCAAGCTGAGGTGACTCTGAAGGACCAACCCCTGACCGGGCTCTCTGCAGGGTTGGCTGAAGTCTTACAACTGTAACGCAGCCCAGGAGAGCCCAGTCCTGCCCGGGTGTTGATGGTGAAAGTATTCCGCAATAAAACTCTTGACACTCAAATTTCAGAATCTGTTTCCTAGGGCACCAGTCTACCACCTAATACATATGCTTGAAGCTAAAACTTTTAAAAAATTGGGATATCATGAAGTACAGTGTTCATTGGAAGGACTGATGTTGAAGCTGAAACTCCAATACTTTGGCCACCTGATGCGAAGAGCTGACTCATTGGAAAAGACCCTGACGCTGGGAAAGATTGAAGGCAGGAGGAGAAGGTGACGACAGAGGATGAGATGGTTAGATGGCATCACCGACTCAATGGGCATGAGTTTGGGTGGACTCCAGGAGTTGGTGATGGACAGGGAGGCCTGATGTGCCGTGGTTCATGGGGTCGCAAAGAGTCGGACACTACTGAGCAACTGAACTGAACTGAAGTACAGTAACACAAAGACAATGCTGTGAAGGTATTCAGAACAAAATGTGCCACTTTGGCATGCAGACTCTCTTGAGTTGAAGACAGTGTAGGTCCAAAAGGCTCAGGAAGATCTTTCTATCTCCCCCTTCAATGGCCTAAAAGAATTTAGATGGGTAGAGGGGTGCTGGCTCGGAGACAGACTATTATCAGAGAGAACTTTTATCAGAATGACCTATGAATATGGCAAGACAAACAATCTAATTACCAAATATCTGTTTTTCCCATTTTCCCATCAATTACCCTCCTCCTCTTTGAAGCCCCAGTCTCCTATCCCATTCCTTAGCTCAGGACGGTAGAGAAGCCTCAACTGCCTCACTGGCCCTCATATTCTTCTGGGGCCCCTGTAGGTACATAATTAAATTTGCTTTTCTCCAGTTAATCTGCCTTATATTAATGTGGTTATTAAATCAGCCAAAGAACCAAGAACAAATTCTTCCTCCCCAACAGCTGCATACAGTATAATCTTTGATAAATCTAAAGCAGTTCGGGATTATGCAGCTTTTATTACAAACTTCAACGTAATTGCACTCTACTGCTAAAATGGCCAAGACGACCAGATTCACAGTGACTTCTGAAACCCTACTGTTCTTATTTTAAGTTTATCAGGAGCTTTTCTCATAACGTTATTTCATTTGATAAATGTGTAAGATTTACTCTTTTATCAGCTAAAAGCTAAAAAACCCAAAGGCTGAACACAACAGAGAAAAAAGGATAATATAAATTTCTTTAATCTCCTCTAAGAATCCAGCAACAGACAAATAATACCTTTCTAAGGGTGGGTGCTAGAGGTGGGAGGTGAAAAGAATGCTGACACTCTCAGAATACATAGACCAAAATTCACACTGCAAAGCACTAATAATAGCCTTTACCTCCAAAGAAAACTAAAGGAACACAAAGAACAGGTGAAGAAGTGGGTGGGAAAAGACTAGGAAGGAAGCATGTAGAAACCAGTGCCTGCTAACCTAGATAGTTTTTTTGTTACCCTTCAAGTGCTCACAAGACCCAAAGTGAAGTGAACAGCAGTGGGGTATCAAAAAAGTGAACTTTCTTCATTTTAAGACAAATACAGACTTTATCACTTCAACTGGATTAGTCCTAACTGATGTTTTCACCTCCAGACTTTACAATGACCTTTCTAAAAATGAGATTAATTCATTTGTCAGTCCATCTGTCCATTCATTATCCACCCATCTATCCATCCATCCTTTACTGAAAGCCTGCTACAATACTGTATAGTAATTAAACTCCAATTAAAATAACTAAATTTAAAGAAAACAAAAAAACACAAATAGACAAAAGTAACCTATGGTTTTAAAGTCCACTTGAGGGAAGAGGGGGTTTGTGCCTAAGAAGGGGCACAGGCTGGCTTTTGAAATGTATATAGGATTACATTTGTCAATCTGGGAGGTTGCTGTATCACTCTGTGCTTATTCAACTATGTAGTTATTAGCATATTTTTCTCTAAGCAAGCTGTGCTTTAATAAAAAAATTTTTATAAAAAAAATGAAAGCCTGCTAAATGCCACAAACTCCCGTCATTTAAATACTGCTTTGCTGACAGCTTTTTTCTTTTGCTTTATATACATACAATACGTATAATATGTAGTATATATAACATAGCTAGCTAAAGATGCTTCTTAAATACAGCTATAAAATATAGCTAAATTATATCTGTTGCCCCAAAAGACTCATTAACACATCTCAGGACAAACAACTGCTGAATTTCTCATCATATGTAGTCTCTACTTTAGCAATGATTATGGAAGTTCTTGGTGGCCCTAGTGGTAAAGAACCTGCCTGCCAATGTAGGTTTGACCCCTGATGGGAAGATCCCCTGGAGGAGGAAATGGCAACACACTCCAGTGTTCTTACCTGCAGAATCCCATGGACAGAGGAGCCTGGCAGGCTACAGTCTATGGGGTCACAAAGAGTCGGACACATCTGAAGCAACTTTAGCACACAGCATGGTAGTTCTTAGAGCAGCATCAAGGTAAATAATGTGACCACTCTTCCATAATCACCTGAAGGAGCTGTATTATAGTTAGGTTCTAACTCGAGACTATCTTTTCACCACTCTTCCATGGGAAGGAGAGGGAAGAAGTGAGAGAAGGAACAGAGAAAGAGAGGATAGGGAGTGCATATATGTGTGTCTGTGTGTAAGATGGAAAGGTGGAGGCAGAAAGAGCCAGGTCAGAGAGCAGATGGTAAACACAACCCATATCTTTAAGCCTCAAATAAAAGCTCATGGTGAGGACTCTCCTTATAAGCTATGATCATTTCTTAAACGGATATTATTGAAAAGCTTATCTGACACTGCTTAGAGTCAGTGAAAGCAATCATTCAAGTTTCTCCTTGTTACAGGGAAACTTAGCACAACTGTCTTAAAGCAAAACTTCTCCAGGCAGTTATTAAACAGATGTGTGCTGATCAAACAGTTTCTGAAGTTCACTTTCAGAAGGGATTCCTAAAATCTATTAGACACGGATGAGATTAGGTGACTTGTCCAAGATCTTATGGACTGGAAGACACTAAAATGTAGGTTTGTCACTGCTGGTCCACTGATTTATCTACCACCCCAAGGGAAAGAAATAAACACAGAGTCTTGAAAGTCACCCAAAAGGCCTCTGGGGAATTTACTGATGACCAATCACCTCTAATTTAGACAGAAGAGGGATTAGGTCAGAGGCAAAGGATGAAGCCTAGATACAGTCAGGGGTAACACTGGACGTGAGCAGGCAATGGAGCAATGCTTCAAGTTTCTGAGAGAAAATGACTTTCAACCTAAAATTTTAGCCCTAGCAAAACTACAAATCCAATGTGAAGGTACAATGGAGACATTTTCATTCATGCAGAGTCTTAAAATTTTTATCTCCTTTACTTGATATTATTAGCAGCTTCTCCAAAATCTATTACACTTCTAAGAAAACCCTGATTTATAAAGGGATTAATTCCCTGAGAAATGCTGGACTGGATGGAGCACAAGCTGGAATCAATATTGTTGGGAGAAATATCAATAACCTCAGATATGCAGATGACACCAAACTTACCACACAGAACGATGAAGAACCAAAGAGCTTCTTGATGAAAGTGAAAGAGGAGAGTGAAAAAGTTGGCTTAAAACTCAACATTCAGAAAACTAAGATCATGGCATGTGGTTCCATCACTTCATGGCAAATAGATGGGGAAACAGTGGAACAGTGGCAGACCTTATTTTGGGGGGCTCCAAAATCACTGCAGATGGTGACTGCAGCCATGAAATTAAAAGACACTTGCTCCTTGGAAGAAAAGTTATGACCAACCTAGACAGCATATTAAAAAGCAGAGATATTAACAGCAAAGGTCCATCTAGTCAAAACTATGGTTTTTCCAGTAGTCATGTATGGATGTGAGAGTTGGACTACAAAGAAAACTGAGCACCAAAGAATTGATGCTTTTGAACTGTGGTTTTGTAGAAGACTCTTGAGAGTCCCCTGGACAGCAAGGAGATCCAACCAGTCCATACTAAAGGAGATCAGTCCTGAATATTCACTGGAAGGACTGATGCTGAAGCTGAAACTCCAATACTTTGGCCACCTGATGCAAAGAGCTGACTCATTTGAAAAGGCCCTGATGCTGGGAAAGATTGAAGGTGGGAGGAGAAGGGGACGACAGAGGATGAGATGGTTGGATGGCATCACCAAATCGACAGACATGAGTTTGAGTAAACTCCGGGAGTTGGTGATGGACAGGGAGGCCTGGCGTGCTGCAGTCCATGGGATCGCAAAGGGTCGGACATGACTAAGCATCTGAACTGAACTGAACTGAACTGAACTAACTCCCTGACCATTTAACTCAGGGGACAGTGTCCTTATGTCTACTTCCAAATGTTGATTCCAGTTAGTCTAGGCTGTTCACAGTTATCCTTGCCATTCTCACTTCTAGAAAGTCCTTTAAGAATGAGCATGGACACTGATTCACTTTGCTGTGCAGCAGAAACCATCACAACACTGTAGAAGCAACTACTGTGGTTGTTTAGTCACTAAGTCCTTGGGTCCAACTCTTTTGGGACCCCATAGACTGTAGCCCACCAGGCTCCTCTGTTCATGGGACTTCCCATGTCCATGGGATTTCTCCAGGCAAGAATACTGGAGTAGGTTGCCATTTCCTCCTGCAGGAGATCTTCCAGACCCAGGGATGGAACCTGCATCTCCTGCATTTCCTGCATTGCAGGCGGATTCTTTATCACTGAGCCACCATATTCCAAAAAAAATTAATTAAAAAAAAAGAATGAGCATGTGAATCAATTCTGAAAATAAGACTGGACACTGATGAGATGCTAGTGGGCATCTAAGAAAAGTTCCGCTGCTCCTAAGAAAGAGTCACAGGAAATGTTCGTCCTTTTTCTTTCTTTGGACATTATCAATTCTGGATGTGATGCCCCAAAGAACTGCAGCCATCTTGCTACTAGTGTGATGATGAAGTTAGCAGAGCAGGAAGACAAAGCCTGGAGAACTGCAAAGAAGAGAACCTGAAGCCCACCCTTCCTGAAGTTCCCATAACACAAGATTATATTTATCCTCATTGTCTGAGCCAGAGTGAGTCCAAGCATTCTGTTACTTGCAAGCAAATGAACAGAAGACAGGTTAAGAGACATCCCAGAATGACAGCAAGGCAGGTCTCGGGACAACAGCTGTGGTCTAGGGAGAAACCAGTTCAGATGAGCAGCAGGACATAGGGCTCCAGCAGGAACAACCCCAGTAAGAAAAACTGGAATCAATAGGTGCAATCATGTGAAAACCGTCTAGAGAGGATAGATTCAACAAGAGACTCAAAACAATGAAATGAAAGAATAAAAACAATTAACTATGACCTTGGAGAAAAAAGTTGTAAAAGAAAGAAAACATACTTGTCTCCATGTGTGCCTCATAAGTAAGCAACACCTACTGGCAATAACAGTGAAAACAATGAATGCGAACGAAATAGGAAAAACATGAAACAATTACACTAGGAGGAAAAGCAAAGGGAGGACTGAAGACCCTCATTTAACACAAGCAGTCAGTAATATCGTCAGGTTGGTGAACCAAGAGAAAGAATAAGCACATTTAGAACCAGGGAAGAAATGGATGAAAGAGCCAAAAACAGTTGCCTTGGGATTGGAGGGAGGAGGGGCCATGGAGGAAAAGAATGGAAGAGGGGACCACTGCTGTTAGCACAAGTCTTTAGCATCCTTTAGTTTTTCTAAAATTCTATTCATGAACAAAAATTTAAATCAATAGAATAAAAAGTCAAAACACTTAAGATGTAAGGGTCTGGGTTAGCAGTTAGTTCACATCAAACGCTTACCACTGACCCTCCCCTGTTGGTGAAATCTCTTTTGTTTATCCCATGGAGTTTTAGCTTATAAGCTCCTCCTGTCACTTTGGATGCAGATGAATAGATGTGAAACTGTTTCCATGAGAGAATTTATGGTGTGTTTTTAAGATTGCATGGTGGTGAAAGGCAAGGATTGCTTAACATTATATTTATCTCAGGTCCACTGCTTTGTTTTATTTGGGCCAGTTGCCTGATTTCTTTTTCAGGTCCATCCTTACTCATTACTTTTCCAAAATAAAATCTGGACTATGTAGTATCTTGGATAATGGATTTTCCATTGTAGCACACCAACTGTATAAACCATCACTGGCCCACAGGCTGGTGACTTAAAAAAAATTACTACTGAGCATGGGGAAAAATGCTAAAATCTACTACATTACTAACAGCACTTGAATTTTTTTATTGGCGAATGATGTTCTTTTTTCATGAAATGTTTCATTTCTGTGACATGAGTAGTAAGTGGAAGGCTAGGAAAAAAATACTGGAACTCTCACATAGCAGTTCTAACAGAGATGAAAAGAACCTGCAGGCAGAGGGCATGGATTCTAGGTTCAACTCAGCTCCCACCCAGGTGCCTGACATGGGGGACCCAATTTACCTGAGATTCACTTTCCTTGTCAAATTAAGAGAAAACATATGTACAGTATAGAATATTAGAGATATCACTTCGCTGACAAAGGTCCGTATAGTCATAGCTATGGTTTTTCCAGTAGTTATACATGGATATGAGAGTTGGGACTATAAAGAAGACTGAGTGCTGAAGAATTGATGCTTTCAAACTGTGGTGTTGCAGAAGACTCCTGAGAGTCCCTTGGACTGCAAGGAGATCAAACTAGTCAATCCTAAAGGAAACCAACCCTGCCTGAATATTCATTGGAAGGACTGATGCTGAAGCTGAAGCTCCAATACTTTGGCCACATGATGCCAAGAGCCCATTCATTGGAAAAGACCCTGATGCTGAGAAAGATTGAGGACAAGACGAGAAGGGGGCAAAAGAGCGTGAGATGGTTGGATGGCATCATCGACTCAATGGACACGAGTTTGAGCAAACTCCAGGAGATGGTGAAGGACAGGGAAGCCTTGTGTGCTGCAGTCCATGGGGTCATAAAGAGTCAGACACAACTGAGCGACTGAACAGCAAGTATAGAATATTGCTCTTAGTAAGTAATTCATGTTAAATCATATTTTGGGGAATATATTGAGTATTTTTCAAAGATGACTAATATACTTGACTGTTAAGGCATCTTTCCTGAGATGGACCTAGGAATAAAATCTAAATGTTCCCCCTCACGCCACCTTCTTCTTGAAAAAAATGAGATAAAGAGGGCTAGAGAAGGACTCAGAGATGGCGAGGAGAAATGCAAACTCTGTTTGACCTTAAGCTTAGAGAAAATGATGTTGGACAAATGTCAATTACGATCAACATTCACAGTTTTTATTATTAATAAGCAGTAACTTCATGTTCCTATGAACTTTGAGTTACTCATCACAAAAACCAACAAAATGATACTTGTACTTACTGCAAGAACAATTCATACCTGCATCCTGTTTGCTTTCATCCTCGTTGACCAAAAATCCCATGTGATAATTCCCCACCTGTTGTGAGTAACTTTTTTCTAGTTCACAAACTGGTGGATAATGGGTAACAAACAGGGTTAAGGATTTCACCTAAAGCAGTGAGACATAATGAAAGTTATTTTATTTTTAAATTTAAAATTTTCTCCAACTTTATTTCAAAAAATTTCAAACCTTCATAAAAGCTGCAGGAAAAGTACAATGAACATTCATATATTCTTTATCTAGACAGCCATTTGTTAATATTTTGCTGTATTTTCCCTTTCTTTCTTCTTCCCTCCTCTAGACACACACACATGAACACACATGTTTTTTTTCCTGAACCATTTAAGAACTGCAGACATCATGAAACTTTATCCTTAGATACTTAAGATTCTACAAAAACATTCTCCTCCATGACCAGAATAAAGTTATTATGCTCAAGAAATTTAACATTGATATATCACTATTTGGGCTTCCCTGATGGCTCAAAGGGTAAAGAATCTGCCTGTAATGTAAGAGACACAGGTTCAATCCCTGTGTCGGAAATATCCCCTGGAGAAGGGTATGGCAACCCACTCCAGTATTCTAGCCTGAAGAATTCCATGGACAGAGGAGCCTGGTGGGCTACAGTTCATGGGGTCACAAACAATCAGACACAACTAAAGCGACTAACACTTTCACTATCACTATTTACTAATTATGTAGTCTGTGAATTTCTCTTACTGCCCCAATAATGTTCTTTAGAAATTTCTTTTTTTTAAAAATATATTTATTTATTTGGCTGTGCTGGGTCTTAGTTGCGGCATGTGGGATCTAGTTCCCAAACCATGGATTGAACCCAGGCCCCCTGTATTGGAAGTCTCAGCCACTGGATCACCAGGGAAGTCCCTAGAAACCTCTTTATATTTTAAAAAAAAAAAAAATCGAGACTCATGTAGTACACCTGGTCATGTCTATTTCGTCCCCATTAATCTAGAAGACTTATCCAGACTTCTTTTTTGACTTTAATGTCTTTAAAATTTTTGAAGTATCCAAGATAGTTGTTTTGCATAATCTCTCTCAATTTGAATTCACCTGATTAAATTCATATCAAAATTTAATGCCAGGAATATTACATATACATGTAGGTGACATAATCTTTCCAATATATCACATCAAGAGGCATATGGTGTCAATCTTATCTATTATTGGGGGTGCTAAATCTGATTATTTGGTTTAAGTGTGTGCCCATTCTTCACTGTACTGACACCTTTCTTCTTGTGGGGTGACACTTTGAAACTGTGTGAATATCATTTTCTCCAACAATCTTACCATCTACTGATCATCACTGCCGGAATCGGTCATTATTGTCATAGTTGATAAATGTCAATTTAAAAAACATCCTTCTCTATTTATTAGCTGGCATTTTGTAATGTAGAGCTTTCCCTTCTTCCCACCCTACCCTCACCATTTTAAAATTTACTTTTGTGTTGTTACTATCAGTACGGACTTGTGGATTACTTAATTAACATTGTTTTAAAGCACACCTTCTATGTGTTCTAGAAATCCTTGTTTTAGGGTAAGTTAACATCAAATCTTGGTCTAAAATTAGCAGAAAAGGGTAATTGAATTAAAGAACTCCAGTTTTGGTTCATCTGCCATTCGCCTTATTAAAAGTCAGAACATATGTCTTCTGTCTAATAACAAGTACAAATAAACTTATTAAGGCAGGGTTTCTTTGACAAGTTGCTCTTAAAATCTGTCCTGAAGCATCTTAGGACCAGCTGGCTCCCTGGAGCCCCTTCCCTCAGTTGACAGGCACTTCTAGCTGGAAGATCTAAAGGTTTGGGCTACACCACTGCCCTCAGCAAGGACACACTCAGCTTACAGCAGCAGCACAGAGCCTCCCCGGTTCCTCCTCTCTTCCCCACTCTAGCAATCCAACAGACATCATGAAAAATATAGATTTTCATCCATAAAAAGGTTAGGAACTCTTGTTCCTGAAGAATCCTCTTCAATGACTTTCCTCCAAGATAAATTTTACCTAAAACTAACACTTCCTTCACCAACATTTATAATATCCAAAAACTGCTATAGAAGCAATGAAAACAGAAGTGACAAATTTAATTCTGTCATAATTTGTTCCTGAAGGTTCTTAAATAACTCTCTGGCATTTTGACAAACTGCTTCTGGCACACAGGCTCCAACGTGGCCCCAGCGATCTTCACTTCTTGCTGCTCATGCTCTGGAGGACCCTCTCCCACACTGAATAGCGCTGGCCCTGTGTTCTCAACAACATGATGGCGAAACCAAATGTTCTCGTGCTTCCACCCTGGCCTCCTGGGATGCCTCCCTCCGGGGGGAGCCAGACGCCCCTCTGTAAGGATGCTCAGGCAGCCCATGGAGAGGCCCACAGGTAAGGAATTAGGGCCCTGGCCAATCGCCTCACCAACCTGCCAGCCATGGGACTGAGCCGCTCTGTAAGAGGGTCCTCCAGCTCTGGCTGACAGCTTGACTGCAACCTCAGCAGAAGCCCGGAGCCAAACCACCCAGGCCAGCCGCTCCGACTTCCTCACCTCCAGACACACCAAGAGATCATGAACGACTAGTGTTGTTCTAAGCCACTAAGTTTAGGGGTATTGTGTTATGTGGTCATAGTAACTGATACACTGCTACAGAGCAGATACAATTAAATTCAAAGTTGATAAATTCAGCTCTGTCATAATTTGCTCCTGAAGGCTCCAAAAAAAGGATATCTGAAAGAATTTTTAATTAAATGAAAAATTCTTTAAGTTTTATAGCGCGTTACAATTTTCAAAAGTTTCACACACATGATTTCATATAACCCCATAACATCCCTTTTTCTTCCTACCCTTATAACAGCTCTCCCCATTCCCTCTCCCCACTGGTAACCAAGAGTTTGTTCTCTGTAGCTGTGAGTCTGCTTCTCTTTTTTTTTTTTGAGTCTGCTTCTCTTTTGTTATATTCACTAGTGTGCTGTATTTTTTGATTCTACATAAAAAGTGATATCCTACGGCATTTGTCCTTCTCTGTCTGACCTATTTCACTTAGCATAATGCCCATCTACGATGCTTAAAATGGCAAATTTCATTCTTTTTTACAGCTAAGTAGTATTCTTAACTGAATGTTTTAAAAATGCGTTTTGGAGGCAGACATAGGACTTTATTGAATCTGTGATATACAGTTTCTATAATGATTAAAGAAGAGCTCCTGAGTTATACCTTTTTGCAAATACAGAATTTCTTTTTTTAAAGAAAATATTTATCTTAAAACAAAATACATCATCATTAACTATGTAATGGGGAGAGTTTGATGAAAGTGACAGGGATAGAAAGTTTGACATAAGTAAAATTGTACATTGAGATGCTTAGGAATGAACTCTGAAAAAAAAAAAAGGACACACACACTGAAGGAGAGAAGTTACTCAAACAGACTCAAGAAGATCAGCTCAAAGGCCTTATATGGAGATCTTTCAGGATATTGCTGAAAAAAAGTATTTCACAAGGCAAAAATGGTACTATCTTTTATCTGGTTCTTTTCTCAAGGATTGGGTTGCAGGTAGATGGCCCTTGATCTTAATTTAGTTTGCCAAGGATAGTAAGATACAGTTTCTAGGTGGAAATATTGCCAAGGAGGCCTTTCTCCTACTGACCAGGTTTATTCTACTTCAGCTAAAGAAAGGAAGACATATCACAGAACTCAACATTATTTAGGGGCAATCTACCTGAGTTCCATGTATAGCACCTGAATGATCAATTGCAGGAATAGGATCAACTATAACAAAGACAGTGTTGAATATTTAGAAACAGGTCAGCATACAAAAAAGGTATGCAAGATACTTACATCTCTAATGAAATGTTCAAGTGTAGCATAAGCAATGGCGATTCCATCATGGGTGCTCGTCCCCCTTCCCAATTCATCCAAGATAACCAGAGACTGCGGTGTTGCTTTTCTTATTATTTCTGCTGTGTCGGTCAGTTCTTCCATAAATGTACTCTGTCCTTTATATATGTTATCCGCAGCTCCCATCCTATAGACAAAATGACAATATCTTGATTTTCCTTCATCATTAGGATGCCAGACATTATTTTCTGAACAATCATTATAAAAGATTTCCATGACTGTATGTCCTTTGAGCCAAAAACAGCTGAAATTACATTAAACAAACCAAAAAAATGTTGTATGTAAACTGTGTCTAACATCAAACGGCACTTTATAGAAACATTTTGGAGAGAATCCAAAGTATCGGACAGAGTTCTTGAAGAGCAGGGGAACCTCCGACTAGGCCATTTTCTGTCTAGTCATTTCAAACCGAAGTTTTGGTATTTACAGGGCAAAACAATACTTGTCTGTATTGCTGTGTTTAAAACCCATGAGTAATAGTATACTGTACAATCAAAGGCTTTTTCCAGTGTTTCCTTAAGATTCCACACTGATATTACAAATTAAAGGACCACACTGAAATAAGATAAAACTATTTTTTATTTGAACTAAAATTATAGAAGTTTAGTAGCCTCAGACACCTAATCCAGGTTTCTAAAGTGGACTTCATGGAATAGAAGTGCTTAAGAGATGTCAAGAAACAGGTTCAAAAGATAAGAGTTCTTTCCTGTAAGACTTCTTAGAGCCTTTAATATTCTACTATACATTATGCATTTCTTACAGCGTCTCTAGTACATAGCATTTCAGACTCATTTAACCACAGACCCTTGAAACTTCCCCTGGAGTTTCAAGGCCTACAATAATGGTCTACAGAACACATTTCGGAAAATGTACAAAAGAAACTGGGGGGCGGGGGTGAAATTAGGCATGTGCACTCCAGGCAACTCAGTCAACAGCAAAACCTAGAATTGACTCTGACCCACTAGCCAGCTTTGTAAATGCTGTAACTATTAATATTTTCTCAGCAAAATACCTTCATCAATTCAGCTTTTCTACAACAGTTCACATGTGACCCACAGCAGGATAATATATCTTTTATTTCTGGAGGAACTCCTGGTGAAACCAAGGCTTCATCAATCTGTGACTGGAGCCTTGCAGTGGGCAGGAGACAGAATGTAATCCCCCTCACGCAAGACTGGTGGAGCCTTAGGAGAACTGCTCTAGTGGCATTTAGAAACTATAACTAACTACGTCTCTGATGGAGGTGATACGGGTTTACTCAAAGTGCTGCTGATTTTATCCATTTTCAAATCGGTAACCGCAAAACATAATTTCTGAAATGTTGCTAACTTAGGAGCATTCTGATTACTTTATCAAAGTTCAAATTCTGTTATTTACCTCAATTTCAAAGTTCACTTTACCAACAAATTCCCTACCATAAAGCAAGAAGATTATACTTTCCTATCTCTGCAACTACACTGAATTCTTCAGAATATTAATGTTTGATCCTCACTTAACGATTGGAGAAGGCAATGGCAACCCACTCCAGTATTCTTGCCTGGAGGATCCCAGGGACGGCAGAGCCTGGCAGGCTGCTGTCTATGGGGTCCCACAGGGTCAGACACGACTGAAGCGACTTGGCAGCACTTAACGATATTTTATTTTCTTCCTGACTGTGAACTGATAAAACGAACATATATTTGGCTAACAATGAAATAGCTCTGATAAGGGCAAATGTCTGGGAGGGGGTGGTCTTTGATTCAAGAATTAGAACAACAAGCAAGCATGGGATAATATTTTAATGCAATGGTTTAGGTATAAAGCATTTCTTAGAAATACTACAGAAACAGAATGGTTTCATTGGAACTGCAGGAACTGTAGAATGCTCTTGGGAAAGATATTACAAGGTAAGACTTCAAATCAGGAGGGAAGAGTGAATGACCAATCAATAAAAAAAAAAAGAAAAAGATGGTAGCTAATTGGTTGCTTCAGGAAAAAAAAAATCAACAAAGATGTGTCCTTACTCAAATCATATTCTAAAATAAATCTATACAAATTTAAGAGTTGAATGTAAAAACAGAAACCATAAACATACCAAGCAGTCTAGATGAAATATAATCTCTAGACAGATAGGTGGGTGGCTTTATATATTGATCTGTGTGTGCATGCTCAGTCGTGTCCGACTCTTTGCGATCCCATGAACTGTAGCCTTCCAGGCTCCTCTGTCCGTGGAATTTTCCAGGCAAAAATACTGGAGCAGCTTGCCATTTTCTATTCCAAAGGATCTTCTTGACCCAGGGATCGAACCTGTGTCTCTTGCATCCTGCATTGGCAGGTGGATTCTTTACCACTAGCGCCACCTGGGAAGCCTACATGGCATCAAAACATGTGAAACAAATCCCATGGTACCAGCATGTCTCACAGTATTACAGGGTTTCTGTCCTTAAGGAGGTTGGGCCCGGTTTGGGTAGATCTTGGATGTATTTTTATTAAACAATGGTCTCAACTCTACTATTAAAGACCAGTGGTTTTCAAATATTTTTTTACCTGTTAAATCCTTTGTTCACATGAAATTTTATAAAGAAACTCAGTTCGCAGATGAGATAAAAGGGACACTGATGTGGCCAAGAACCCAGCACTATGAGGCTCACTTTCCTATGCAGAGGGGGCTCTGTGGGAATCTTAACATCCTGTAAACAGTCTGAAGGCCACTGCATTATTAGCAGCCAACACATTTTCTTTCACAATTCCATTTTTCCACAGCACCTAATGATAAAGTAGCAATGCTGCTCAGCAGACAATGAAGAAATGCTGGCAATTAAACAGTCACTGGGATCACTGGGGAAGTATGTGTTTGTCACTGTGGCAACTGTTTATTGATAAAAATATTTTCTGTTAACTTCTCTTAAGAAATTTAAGAGATTCCTCTTCTTAAGAAATTAATTTTTCCCATAAACTTCAGCAATATAATAACTTTGTAAGATTCTGATGGACAAAGATTTTATCACTAAACACATTTTCCTTTTAGTCTTGGTTACTAGGAGACAATTGAATAACATCTTAAAATAATAGCAAACAGCAACTGTGACTTTATCTAATGTTTCTATGCTAATTTCTCCTTGATCTTTGAATACCATTTTACTTTCTTATTATCCTGCTCTGTTGTATATATCCCAGTCAACTGACTAAAATAAGTTTTTAAAACAAGGAGGGGTTTAGCATCCTTAACAAAAAGTCTCTAATTTTATATCACTCTAACAAGGATTTACAAGACATCCTATCGGACAATGATTCTGAATTTTTTCAAATGTTAAAATATATTAGAGATTTAAGAAATTTCAGAACATATGTCATTGTTATCATTATGCCTGTAATTGTATTCATATGCAGTGAAAAATGGAAAATACACTCTTTAGGTTTCATCTCAGAGTTAGTTTGCTCTGAGTAGACAGGTTACAGATATGTGATTAAGAAAAAAAAATCACTCTGATATTTTTAGGAGTGGAGGCTCACTAATCTTTCTAATCCCCTACCCCCTCCTCGTCTATAACCCTTATATAGGTCAACAAAGCTTAATAAAGTATTAACGGAGAAAAGAAATTACTACTTTTTTAAATCAGCTTCTAAAGTCAAGAATACTTTCATGAAAATATGAACAAGAGTTTGTTTTTATGAAGTCTTGATATTTTGAAATAACATTCTAGACGTTTCTAAATTATAGCAAATGGGTGGGCCTCTGTCCATTCAAAACACAATCTCTGGGCCTTATGAAAGGAAAATGGTCACATGAGAGAAATACTGCAATTAACAGGGGGAAAAAAAAGATTCTTTATATTGAAAGGAAGTAACTGGAGCTTAAATGTCAAAGTTGCTAAATAGAGGCAAAGACTATTTGTATGCATCAGGATTTTTTGACATACTTTAAGTGCTTTTAAAATAATATATAAATGTATATTATTTTACATATATATATGGCTTCCCAGGTAGTTCAGTGGTAAAGAATTCGCCTGCCAATGCAGCAGACTCAGGTTCAATCCCTGAGTTGGGAAGATTCCCTGGAGAAGGAAACGACAACCTACTCCTTGCCCAAGAAATCCCATGGACAGAGGCATCTGATGGCTACAGTCCATGGTGTCACAAAAGAGGTGGACACGATTTAGCGACTAAATAACAACAGCATGCATACACACACACATAAAACTAAAATTTACCATTTTGGCATTTTTAGGCGTATAATTCAGTGGTATTAAGCACATTCACAATGCTGCACAGTCATCACTACTATCCATCAGCAGAACTTCTTCATGATCTCAAAATAACTCATTAACAACTAACTCCCCAATCTCCCCTTCGCTCAGCTCTGGTCTCTGCAAATTTACCTCTTCGAGCTTCTCAGATAAGTGAAATCACACTCTATTTGCACTCTGTTTTGTATAGAAGGGCTTTTATATTAGTCCATTTTGCCTTCTTTTTGAAACTGAAGATGTTCTACTCACTTCACTTTGCTAAAAACTTTGCAGAATTCTGTACAGTACTGGTGTCTCCGCTTGTCCTTTTTTTTTTTTTTGCATATTATATAAATTTGACAAAAGGAAGATAATCTCCTGACTAGCAAAAGACTCTAATTTTTAAGAAGGATGGTCTAAGGGGAAAAAAAGTTAAAGTCTAAGAAGAGAAAAGGCTGAAAATGATTACCAAATATTGAAAACTGTGTATATACAGCATGGTACTTAAAAGGTATAAAGAAATATGAAGTAGTAGATTTGTATCACATTTAAGTAAACATAAACATTAACCCAGCAATGGAAGGAAATTACAAATAATTTACCACTATACATGTGCACTTTTTAAAAGCCTGGAAGGTCATATACCTAAAGAACAATGGCTTTCAGGTTGTGGAATTATAGGTGATCTAAATTTTTTTCCTTTTTGAGCTTTTCTATAATTTTAAATTTGCAATGAACAAGCTTCACAGTGTCATCAGAAAAACACATGTTAATTTAAAAAAATCACAATACATTAAAATACTTTGTACTCTACTGATACATTTAAAACACTTTACATTCTACTGTATCATTTCTTTAAGACAAGGCAAAATGACTGTAATTACCAAGAAAAGTAACCAGCTTTCTTCTACCAATGAGATTA